TGGTAAAACAAGGACATATAAGAAAAGGAAACGAGAGAACAACAGAGGTAACACCTGGGGGGGTTCTTAAACAGTGAAAAAATGGCTTCATCGTAACTCCAGCTTCGATTTTGACATCAGATTGAACAGAGAGCATTTTCTGTTTTATGTTCACGCACATACCAACAGAGAGAAGGAGAAAGAGAGGAAACACCACAGCAAACAGCTGTGATGCAGTGACATTTAAATCACTTTGCACTCAAACAGAATGTGATAATGTTCTAGCTATAAGCTGGGCTGCTGGACGGCAGTTTTGTGGTTTGGTTTGGCCGCTTGGGGGCAGAACACCACAACAAGCTCGTCATCACACACGTTTGACATTGTACGGCCTAGAGAATCGTTGTTTTAAATAACACTTTAGCCAAAAATGGCCTAATTACGATCCAGCAGACACAGCAGAATTAGCATTTATTTGGAGTCGTGTTTCTGGCCACCTGACCTGACCTGAGCTGTTTTGGTCTACGTGCACTCCTGGGGGAAATATCTGGCTGTTAAGCTGCTAAATGTTCCACATGTTCACCAGTAAGTTTCTAACATTGTCTGTCTGCCTTTAGGCGGGTATTGTACGGTGCGTTTATCACAACTGAAACAGGTGCCTACTGCTGCTGGAAACAGGGCTGATGAAAGGGGTGAGAGGCTACTACTCTGTACAGCTGAGGGCAATTTGGATGATAATTGTCTAAAATCACTAAAACGAAGAATCCAAGAGTGAAAGCATCACAAGCAATCAGACAATCAGACAGTTAGTGAGGTGTACAGTGTGTATGGTTTAGCTACACCGATCAGCCATAACATTATGATTATCTGGTTATCATGGCTCCTGTCAGTGGGTGGGCTATATCAGGCAGCAAGTGAACATTTTGTCCTCAAAGTTGATGTGTTAGAAACAGTAAAAATGGGCAGTGTGAGGATCAGAGCGACTTTGACAAGGGCCACATTGTGATGGCTAGACAACTGGGTCAGAGCATCTTCAGAACTGCAGCTCTTGTGGGGTGTTCCCGGTCTGCAGAGGTCAGTACCTATCTAAAGGGGTCCAAGGAAGGAAAAGATGGGGGGCCGAGGCTCATTGATGCACGTGGGGAGTGAAGGCTGGCCCAACAGATGAGCTACTGTAGCTCAAACTGCTAAAACAGTTAATGCTGGTTCTGATAGAAAGGTGTCTGAACACACAGTGGATCACATATTATTGGTATGGGGCTGCAGAACATTCTGACCACCAACCGTGTGCAGACTAACAATGTTGTTGTGTTACTGTCTTATAGTTTAAGACAGACTTGAAAAATTGTGAACCTATCCATTAATTCTCTACATTAAGTTTAATTTTCTTAATTCACTGTATATGTGCGTGACAGAAAGAACAAGATTGGAGAACAGAGAGACAGAGAGGTAGAGACAGACAAAGAGAAAAAAATAGCATTAAAGCTTTGTGCCCCTGAGTCACCTGAACATGTTTTATTTACTGTCCCTTAGAAGCAGAGTTGGCATCAGAACTGTTTGCTCCACAGTCCGGGTCAGTCTGGGCCGAGCGCCTGATACACAGCCAGAGGCTACAGTCCTTCAGGACACCCTACACACACACACACACACACACACACACACACACACACACACACACACACACACACACACACACACACACCACACACACACACACACACACACACACACACACACACACACACACACACCCTAACCATGATGATGTAGCAAACTTTGAGATATTGGTTGAACTTTAATTCACATATATATTTAACTATAACCGATTAACATTGGGGAATATCTATATTTTGAAATGAGAAATAATACATTATTTCTCTTACAAATTAAAATAATTGTTGAATCCATAAGCAATAAACAAACTATTGCTGAATTCTCAAGGGTATTGCTGCCATAGCCTTATGTGGTCTGGTGTGACCAGTAGCTTACGGCAGCTAATGTTAGCTATGGTAGCTAACTTCAGACATATACTGTGAATAACACTGCTGAGTTACTTCTCTGACTTTGACTATTCTCTACTTGTGCTACTGTTAAGCTACTGTTAAACATTTCATAACAAGTGTCGCTGTCCAGCAAAAGCTACATGCAGCAGGATCATATTCACAAAACCCCAGTTAACAAATTAAACTAATTAACATAATGCCGAATGAAGCTGTAGCGACGTCTATGGTACCCAGTACATCTCAAGAGAGGAATAAAACTACTATGCACTTTGTTTAGAATGACTTATTATTATTTATATTTCATCATATTGAACATACTGGACCTGGATATTAAAATAACACAAAATCCAAAATAGGTGCATGCTTCTTTGTCCAAAATCAAATCAAAACTGTATGAAAACAGCATTGAAGAGTACAGATTCATAATAATAACTAATATTTGCACATTTATTTAAAAAAAACCTGCCAGGTTCTGTAGAAATTGATCTGGGGACATCACCTTGATTCTTGACAAGCCACCTGAAGTCCAACATGATATGACAAAAACACATGTACACACACCTTCATCCATTGTGGCCCAATCTGTTGATAAAGCAACCATAACAGGTTAATGTGAACTCCTCTAAAGTCGGGCACACAGTCAGTGACATACGGTGGTGAAAGAAGGAAGAGCAGGATGGGCAATGAAACATTCACTGCCTCTGCAGATCAGTCCTCCAGTTAATACAGAGCTGAATAGTACCTCCAGCAACAAGCTGTGTCCTTGTACCACACTAACTTTTTAATGAGAGCGTCTGCTCCCAACAGAGCTCATCGGTCCAACCTTGGGCCGACAGCCTCCGCAACATTTTCCATGACATTTTAGAAATGTTTTTGAAAAGGGCAGTAAAGTTTGTATAACAGCATGAAGTTGATTGAAACAATCCAGAGCTGAAACTGAACAGTTCCCTCATGACTTATTGATGTGACAATGGTATTAAAATATTAGATAAAAAACACTGAACATATCTCACACAGAATAAAAGCAATAATTCAGTTATAATTATAGCAGTTATTAAAGTTATTGCTTTTGGCAGTGTTCTGGTAGTCAAATGGTTAAGACACATACCTAAACCAAACAAAAAATACCAAAATTACAACTGGGATATTTGTTGCATATCATCAGCACCCCCTTACACGGAGCAAATAGCAGACATGGTAAAATAATAATAATACTTTCATTAGTACGATTTTACTGTATATTGACTTCAACTTATAGTTGAAATAAAGTCTGAACATGTTACATTTCAGTTTAATATTTTTCTTCTTCAAATCTTTTCTGTTTTTGTGAAGATTAAATGGATGTTGAAAAATCTTTACCCTCTTTAATCTGAAAAATATCAAATAAGAACTGACAATCCTTGGTTTGCCTTTGCAATTAATAAGTTGAAGGTATCCATAGTAACAATTCCCATACGAGTTACTAACTCAGGGTTTCTGCAGCTTTCATCAGGTAAAATTTAAGACTGTTTAAGACCTTTTTAAGATAATTATAAATGCAAGACCTATTTCAAGTCCATAATGGCAAAAAAGTACTGAGGAATCTGTATTGGTTCCTTATCGGTTTGGTTTTGTAGTTGCTACAGTATGATCAAAACAAAATTTTCCCAAAAAACACATTTAAAAGCGAGACTGAAAAATGCAACTTTATACAAAATACGTTAACTTCATTAATGGAATGAATTTTGAAAAATCACCTGTCAAAAAATTGAGATTATATGATTTTAGATTTTTAACTATATAATATAATACAACATGAAACAATACAGTACAACACTGGATTACCAATACTGGGAAAAAAAGTAAAAGCAACTTTTTAAAAGATTTCAGATTTTTCATTTTGTGCTGTGTTTAAATGGATAACATAACAGAGACAGCACAACAGCAGAAAGTGAGGGGGCAGTTATGAGGTAGAAGCAATGTGCAACCTAGAAGAAATCAGATCAGTTGAAATACTGTTTTTTTTATACTTAAGGTATCAGTAAAATCACATTGCCGTTCAGCAATAAAAACAATCAATAGCAGCAGCAGAAGTTAAATCCAGCATATCTCTCCATCACTCTAACCACTGATAAGTTTTTATCCTTTTGCCTTGACTCCTTCCTTCACAGGCATTGATTTTTCCACACTCTTGCTCTTTCCCTCCCTCCCTCTGCACCCCCGTTGTTTCCCTCCTCTGTTCGGATCTCTTCATCTCCTCTCCTGCTGCTCCGTCTTTCATGTCTCCCTCCTCTCTCTTTGACAGAGACAGAAACTCTATTTCTCTTCCTCAGCCACCCAGGGGCACAGACCTCAGTCCGCTGTCGAGCCGCTCACTCCCCAAGACTATCTGCAGGTGAACACTGGAATGAGTTCAGCCTGATACTGTAGAGCTCGGAGCTACAGTGAAGGCTGATTTTCAACCTTCTTCTTCTGTCCTGACCAGAAAAAGGGTCTTAAATCACAAAGAGCTGGTAACCTTCCCAAACACAAGTTAATGCAACACTGCCTGGTTGCACTCATCCTCTATGTGCCCATGCTCCAAGGTGAGAGACAAGACAGATGTCATCAAAAAGGTAAAAAGATTTTACAGTAAAGAAACCAATCATCTCCAAAAAACAGTTTTTATGGCCCATCCAAATAGTTTATGTAGCGTATTTGGAGAAGGTTGGGCGACATTTGAAGGAGCAGTGGTGGTTTCTTTGGACAGAAAGTGGCTTCAACAGAAAGATTTGTCCCACACCAGGGGTCTCAAACTACCAGCCTAGCGAATATCCAGCCCATGAGACAACTGGTACCCAATTTATTGTTAAATCCAGTCTGCAAATTCCTGTGTTCCATTTTAATATAGTCATTTCATTTTCTAGTAAGGCTGCAAAACCTGGGGGTGCCCTAGTGGCTTTGCCTTGCTACAGCAGGGGGGGTTCCAGCCTGCTGCCCTGTGCTTCATCTCTCTCTCTCTCTCTCTCTCTCTCTCTCTCTCTCTTCTGTCTGTCCCAAAAAGCCCCCAAAAAACAAAACCTGAACATAAAACCAGAGCTTTTTTTTAGCAAGCTCTCTGTGCCAAAATGCACAGCTTGTTAAAATAACCATGATATGACCAACAGCAGTCTGAATTAACTTGGATCTGGCACCTGATACCTAAAACCATATTGTCTCTTTCTGAACCTAAAATAAAAGCTGACTTGGAGCAGGGTTCAGGCGTTACAAGTCAAAACATAAAGCGCTTCGTAAATGAATACATGTTGCTACTACCTGGATCAAAACCTAATGAGATCCTCTTTGGCCCATGGCATTATACTTTACACTGAATGTCATTGAAATGTAAGGAGTCATTTTTGGGATATCTTGCTAACAGACAAACCTACCTTATCAACTATGTTCCTGCCAAATGTTCAGCAAACTCTCTTTGTGATAATGATGCACGGATACAAATATAGTCCTGCTATGATGTAAATTAAGGGATCACATGCCTGAAGTGTATAGCTCACCAGCTGTAGCTGCAGAATGTGCCTGCGGCCCGTTGAGAGTGAGAGGGTAAAGCTGGGTTAAGGCCTGGAGGAACCTTCTACATCCCTGCCTACTCAGCACAAAGCCTCTCTCCCTGTCTCAGTCTCTTTGTAGAGAGGCTGATCAAAGAGCGGGGCGCGCTCAGAGGATTCACCACGTCAGGGAGCTTCTGAGCGGATGAACACGGACATCCCATTATGTGTCCCAGTGGGGTACGCTGAGGGATGTGAGAGTGCACACACCCTCGTGTGCCTGCGTGTGAGCAACTGTGAACAAACCTGTGAGTGTGGGCTCACACACGAGCTGCTGCCCTTCGTTCCTGAGTGTTCGATTCTGTGCACGTTTGAAAATACTTGGATTTGGAGGGTGAGAGTGAATGATGACTGAGTTTTCGAAACATCTGAATATGCCAACGGTCTGCGTCTTTGATCGGTAATGAGGAAGGTAGGGTCGAACTGAGCAGTGCTGCCTGTTATTTCAGATGAGAATCACAGCATCAAAGGCTTTTTCTCTCCTCATCGTTCCTTCTCTCCTTCTGCCAGTGCATCTCTGCTTAACCTCAGGCGTCCTTGGCTCACCTCTGCCCCCTCCACACCCTTCTGAAAATGCAGAAAACTTGTCAAAGCCTCTTTAACTCTTCCTCCTCTGCTGCGGCAGCATGGAGGTGTGTACTGCCACTGAAACAGGACACCTGAGTTCAAGCTTCCATCTTGGTGCAGTAAAATTAATCCCAAAAAGCTGCAGGACTGCTGCTCTGTTACTGACCTCTGACTTCCCTGCTGATATGGGATAAAGCTAAAAAATAATTTTCCTACTTATGTTTTTAGAGGAGTGTGTAGCCTACACAGTGTTTGTAATGTATGAGTTTAATTTCACAGGTTTAAATTTAACCTATTCTCTCGTATTATCCTTCCTCTGTCCCTACTGTGCTCCAGCTAATTAGGCAGAAAGAGAAAAAGAAAAAGGATTTTTTGGCAAATTCTAAAACAAGCTTCAGTTTTCCAGAAAGTGTTTATCCTACTCTAAAATAAATTAGCTTAATTTAAACAGCAAATTAGATGAGAATGATTGGGCTTTCCAGCAGCAAACTTGGCTTTACTTTAGGATTTGGGGAAAATCCTTGATGAGTCACTTGCTGTGGCTTTTAAGCCTATTTTAAGACTGTGTAAATCGCTCTTCTCTCACCGTGTGCCAAGGTATCACACCAGTTATTTGTGTGTGTGTGTCTGTGTGTGTGAGAGAGTGTGAGAACCCACTTGTGATGTATTTGTCACTTACCTCATTCTTTGATTCATGTATCTGCAGCTGGGAAGTGTATGCGAAGGTATTCTCTGGAGCGGCAGTCGGCCTGTGGAAGAGGAGAGGAGAGGGAGAACAAGGATGGAGAGAGCCAGAGAGAGAAAGTGAGAGAAAGGGAGAAAGCGCAAGAGAGAGAGAGAGAGAGAGAGAGAGAGAGAGAGAGAGAGAGAGAGAGAGCAAGATTGCACATTTAACAAGTTGTCACAAACTGTTTTTAGTTGCTCTGCTGTGTGAGCAGAAACACCCTTACACACTGAACATGTTCTTCTGAAGTTTGAAATTAAAATTAAGTGCCTTGATCCTGACTTTACACAGAACAAACTGAGCTCTTCTGTTTGCTGCCAAATCTGACAAACAACATAAATCACTGTGTGACACAGTTAGTTGTTTGTACAAATGTTTCTGAGGCAGGGCTGCCTTCTAAAAATCATTAGGATATTACAGTTTTGAAAACTCTTTTTATGATCTCCCTTGTGGCTCCACAAATGACAAAAATGCCTCACTTATTATGAAAGGGTTGCTGTGGGTTACTCTTTCCAAAGGTTTGTAACAAACCAAAAGTCATGCTATGGAGATAAAGTAAAGTTACAATAACATCAGAACTAAGGGATAGTAGCGGGGTTCCCCAAGGCTCCATGTCAGGGCCTCTCTTGATTAAATATTTCAATATATAAATCATGCTCTATAGCCAAGACATCCCTCGCCACCACTGAAGGGACTTTTTATTGCTAATTTAATTCTATTTTTGTTTAATTCAACTTCATTTAACTTCACTCAACGTCCGGTCTGTGTCTTGTCATCATCATATAGTCTGTCACTTAATACCTTTACATGCACACTAGTCCCTGTTATAAATCCTGATATGACATATTTGGGATATTATATGGAACACAAATCTGGACAATGTTAGAATCATACAGGGATATTGATATCCAGGTAGCTGGTTATTAAAAAAATTATTATTCTGTATTTATGGAATGCCACTCATTGAACTTGAATGTTGGAAGTGATGAATTACATACATTTTTTAACTTGTTTGTCCTTGACAATGTCCTCTTAGTTAAACTAAACAGGATTGACTCAATTTTGCCCAGGAGTACTAAAAGCCTTTTATCTATGATTCATCATCGGCATACAACAGAAGCTTGCATTTCAGTCCAGCTGACATATCATTATAACAGTACATAAGGAATAAGAGTACCAATATGGAGCCTTTGGGCACCCCTCTAATATCCATATGTCCCGGCATAGTCCCAGCCCCATAGTCCATAAATGTTGATGAAGTGTAGGATGGCTGCCTGTACTGGGTAGAGAACCTGGACAATATCACCGGGTGTCACACTCCTGAATATATGTGTTTGCAGATACCAACAGTCCATATCAAACATGGCTATACCACAAGGGCCAGTGTGTGTTTATGTATCATGCCTTGAGCCTTTTTATTCTGGTGCTGTACCGAGAAACAGCCTGCCTTTCCCTCTCATTTTTGACAGGTTCAAAATGAGAGTCAGAGTTTATCTTTGGGATGAGCTGAAAGGACATGTGTAATGTCTGTCTTTTAATATCATGTTTAGACAGGTTATCACTTGGATTGGTGTGTTTTATAGATCAAATTAAATCTTTGCAAACTGGAAGAAGGAGAGACTCTGGGCTTTTTTATTCTAGTTTTTGCCATTATGATTATTAATAGTAGCAGTTTGATTAAATTTGGCCAATTTGTTCTGTCTTCCTTCCACCAGCATCAAACCGAAGTTAAACACACCAGCTTTTGATCACTGCTTTGATTCAGTGAAGCTGTTTGAGTTGACAAACCTCTCCTCTGACTAACTGCTTGACACAGTCATCTGATTGTGGTTATGCCATTTAGACATTATGGCAAGGACCTTTGTGTGTGTAGGTGTGTGTGTGTGTGTGTGTGTGTGTGTGTGTGTGTGTGTGTGTGTGTGTGTGTGTGAAACAGTGTGTGTGTGTGTGTGTGTGTGTGTGTGTGTGTGTGTGTGTGTGTGAGAGTGTGTGTGTGTGTGTGTGTGTGTGTGTGTGTGTGTGTGTGTGTGTGTGTGTGTGTGTGAAACAGTGTGTGTATGAATGGCTAAGCACACATCTCCAGGATAGTCTGATATATGTGTGTGTGTGTTATGGGAGAGAACATAACATAACACTCAATGGAAGTGAAGCCGCTATGTCAGATAAACCAACACACACACACACACACACACACACACACACACACACACACACACACACACACACACACACACACACACTAACTGAATCATCTCTTCAGTGCCTGGAAATGTTAGATCATACTCATTACAGAGTATGTTTGTTCAGACTTGTACATATAAATTGCCTGTGGTGATCAGAATTAGTGTGGCAAACAGTGTTAAACCTGCATTGGCTAACAAGCTAACCTGCTTTACTGTTTTCTGTCCCTGCACAGATTGCTGCTTTCTACCTAGTGGGTAAATATAGTTGAGAGGCAGATCCAGGCAGAAGCTACAGCTGGAGAAATGTCGGAAACCTAAAAACAGAATGGAACAGAACAGCAGGTTTGAGACTGCTTATTTACATAGTCGCATAAAGACAAATTCTGCTTGGGGCCTCGTAGATGCTTGAGCTGAGCTTGAATGTCGACACACACACAGACAGATCAGATACAACAACAGGAACACCGGGCCATCTGCCTCATCTGTCATTCCCTGCTGGACACAAACCCAGAGATGATCCTTTGATTCGTGTCAGTAAAACCACAGTAACATGTCCACTTCATCACGATAGTACTGCTGGTCATTGGATCAGCTTTCAGCCATGCTAGTAACAATTTCCAGCTGGTTGGTTCACTCATGTTTCCCTCAGGATGAGTTGTTTTAACCTTTGTGATCCCTGACTTTTCATCTAACACCATTATCAGGCACAAAGAAAATTGTATACTTACCAAATACTAACAATGAACACCAAATTCCCAGAATCCCGTATGATAGGATTGTTGCGTATTGAGAAATAAAATGTATTGTATATGTATTGTGTGTGTGTGTGCATGTGTTAGAGAGAGATTTAACCAATAATTCACTTGGAGGAAATCTTTCAATGGCTAGGCTACCTAGTTTTTCCTGAATGTATTGGACTGAAGGTTAAACTGATATTCATTTTATATAGGCCTATATATAATATAATTGATGCAATAATTGATCCTTTATTGACAGTTATTTCCTTTACATTCACATTGAGCAGCAGCAGCAGCAGGGGACATTTAAATTGATGAATAAAAAGCACTAATTGCATAAACATTCACCTTCCTGAATGAGTTTTGAGATGGTAGGCAATCACTGTACCCAAGTTGATTGCTGAATAGAGCATCTACATCCCTTTACATGGAAATACATACTGTAGAATTAGGATATTGAACAATCCAAGGAACCCTGGAAGTTTTGTAAGAATTTCAATAATTTTAACTAGAAAATCCAACTGAAGTTAAGCAATAGTTTAACACTTTTAGAAATATGCTTATGTAACTGGGTCATATGTCCTGTAATCTCTTGTTAATGTAACTTCACAATATCTGTCAAAATATTGCTAATACCTGACAACAAAGGCCTCCAAACCTAGTATGTGTCCACTGTGTATCTGAAAGTTCAAACGCACTTTCTCCTTCATCTCCAATATAAATTCCTTTTGTTCTCTTCACCTCTCCCCTTTGTACAATTCTCTTATATTTACGCATCTCTTCTTTCTCTTTTTTCAGTTATCATCATAATCCATCCTATTTTCTTTTTCATTTTTAATTTAATTTAATGTATTTTTTCTGAAATGTTTTAATCCTGATTCAACCACATAAAGCCACTTGTAACTGTAACTGTTTTGAAAAGTACTATATGGATAAAGTAAATTATTATTATTATTATTATTATTAGCATAATTAACATAATTATTATTACAACACTGTTTTAAACAGCTAAATGCTGCTAGCTTAAAGTTACTAGTTAACAGTTTATTGTCCATGTTGAATATTTTACTACACGTGCCTCATTTTACTATTCTCCTGTGGGAGGGGATCTGAAGCAGGAAGTTTTTATTAACATGCTGATTTATCATCTGTTACACTTTAAAAGAGAAATTGGATTCTTGTTGTTGTTAGAATTCATGGCAAGAAAGCAACATGAGCCTATTTCCCAAAATGTCAAACTGTTCCTTTAAAGCAAGGGGGAAGGTCAACTGAGGCAGCTGCTAGAAAGAAGCCCAAAACTTAAAACCCATATGTTTAGACTCGTCTTTTCAACACATACTCTAACCTGGCAGGCTGACAAAAATCTGTCCAATAAACCAGCTACTTCTGAACTCCTGCAAAATTTATTCACACGCCTGGTTGGCTTGTAATTAGGCAGTGTGAACCAAAACAAACCTTATAAAAAATGCAATAAAGAAAATTTCCCACTGTGGTTTGGAACACCATAAATTATCGCTCTGTGTGTACCTGACAAAGAGTAAACTGGGGTAAAAGAATGTGACACCTGTGGTACTGCAGAGCAAAGAAAACCTGCAGCTGAAGTGGGATCAGTTCAGAACGCTGGCCACAGTCAACCTGGCAAGGTTGGAATGCACAGGTGAACAGATGCGCATTGCTGGCTCTCCGCAGGGGCTTTTGGTACATTCAGGCCACACACGCACATGCAGAGGTGCCTAAGTCCTGGCTTTGGTCCAATGGCCTGGAGCAGGTCTTTATCCTCCAGTCCCCCAAAGCCCCTTAAGCCCCGCAGCTATGCCGGTTTGCTCTAGCCCTTCTTCCTTTCTATATTCCTCCTTCCGATTCCAAATCATTTTTATAATTCTCCCTCTCCCTGGAATCCACCTTCCCTCACTTTATTTTTTACACTAAATCCTTTTTATCACTGTAATCATTAAACTTTTTCTTCCTGACTGCTATGCTTACTCCTCTACTCCCAACTCACCGCTCTAGCTCACCTCTCATCTACACCTCTCTCTCTCATATCCACCCCAGGGCTGCTCTTTCGTTTCATTCCAACCTTCCTCCAATCTCTCGGTGGATGTCCA